TCGTGGTAGGAAGTCCCTGGTTGATAAAGATTATAGGTGGGAAAAGTCTATTTCCAGGTGTCAGCCAGTCAGTCCAGTCAAGCAGCCAAATTCAAGGAAAACCTGCAACTTCCGGAAGCAACGAACAAAGGCACGGGAACCAGCCCATAACCATCAGAAGAAGCCTCGAAGGCGGGTCCTTGAGGCTAAAGTTAAGCAGCACGTGGACATCAAGATGTTATGCTTCACACTCAATGCGGAAGCGCTGCTGCGGCCTTGTGCATTCGAGTGCCGACTGAGCGAGGGAGAGTTAGCGTAGGGCAGCGTAGTCAACGGTGCTGAGTGCCATAGCCATAGCCTTAGCACGAGAGATGGACAGAGAAAGGAAGACATTATGAGACATGAGAGAGGAGTGAGAGCAGCTTGGAGAGAGGGAGAGAGAGAGGCACACGAGAGAGGACGAAGGGAGAGACTTACCTAGATGTCGCGTTGGGTGGCCATAGCTGCCGCTGACGATGAAGACAACTAAGTTTGATGAGACTACTTTTGGACTTCGTTATCTGCTGCGCGTCTCATGTTTGAGCGATGTGATGCGAGACTTGTGCTTGAATGTTCGCTGCATGGTGGTGTCATTGCAGAATAGTAGAAATACCCTATTTTGTGCTGGTTTTTTTTTTTTTTATTATATAGTTTGACAGGTCTTACCCATTATGAGACCCCACCCACCCTCCTTCGTCAAATCTCCTCAGCGCATCCTTACTTATCCAGCCCTACCCCAGTCTCAACCACACAGGACAATCACCCTGCTACCATTTTGGCGAGGTGACCTGACCTGACAGTGGTTGCAGGCACCTACGCTAAGCAGGAACCCAGCTAAGCCCTGGTTTAATTATTCTATTGTACAGGTACTTCGGGCACTGGCCGTAAGCATTCCCTCTACAAGCCCGATGGCTCAGGTCAGCGGTTGTGCGCACCAGCGCTAAGCAGAACTCCGCTCAGCCCTGGTTGAAGCATGTTCGAACGAGCCCTGTCCTACTGGTATTTCAGGCACTGGCCATAAACATTCTCTCTACAGGCCCCATGGGTAGACCTTAACTGCCCCAAACGCTTACCCAGGTACCCCAGTGTATGGAACCAGATGTGCACGCCGGTGTCTCATGCGCCCCCCTCCCGCCTTCCTGGCCAAGGGCTAGCCTGTGCCATCTGCTGAGCAACCTGGACAGTACTATTGATTGTCCTGGTCATATTTTTTCATATATGTCACCTGAAGATAGTCTAGTCTTCGTCATCAGCAGGTACACAGCCACCATCCATCCCCACACATGGGTCATCAACTAGACCCGTTCCAGTCACTGCGGTTGTTTCTGGCCTGATCCAGAGTCGCTACAGTCTCGGTTGTCAGTAGGTACATGGCCGCCATCCCCCTCCGTACCTCTGTCATCAACTGGTCTCACTCTGGCCTATTTCAGAAAACGTATCCTATGATTTCTATCTTATCCTGATTCACCCTGGCAGATTCATACTGCCGTAGGAATGGGTTCATAGTATTTCATGCAGTCGAGAAATCGGGGCGAGAGAGTTGTCCGGATATCCGACTGTGCAGTGCAGGGAAACGTCGAGGATGTTGGATACGGTTTCGTGTATCGACGAAAAATACTAGAAGGAAAAGATCTCTTTGCCAATTACAAAGAATTACGCGCGAACCGAATGTCTTACTACTGGCAACGGGAAGCGGTTTTACAATGCAAAATTTTGCAAATGGATATCTGGAATTTTTTCTTCTGGTTGAAGTCTTGAAGAAGAATATACCTTCTTTTGCACAAATGATTGGACTAGGGCTAGAACTATGGTTATCACAGTTACTACAGTTATTTTAAGGCAGTCCACAGTGGGGGATTGAGAGTGGTCACTGTGGTTGTTTGCTAGCATGTTTCATTTTTGGGGATTAGAGTTAACAATGGAGGGGGCTTGCCTTCACGTATGGGCTCACTGGCGATCTCAATCGTTCGGCAGGGAGTAATCAATGCTGCCACCGGACGCTCTAGGTTACTGACCTTACATTATATTCTCACCAAACCAAAAGCAAAGCGGATAACTTCGCTAGCACCCAGCTTGGCCAGCCGTGACATGCACGAAAGTAATATCAGCCACCGGCCGGACATGAGCGCCAGTCGGTACGTATGATTGGATGGAGGTCAGAGTCAGAGAGGCAGGTTTCCTCCTTGCCATGTCAGTTTTTTACTTAGCCATTAGAGAAACCCGCAACGATGTCTCGTACTTTGGAGTTTAGTACCTTGTATCTAGGCCATAGGAACGACATTGATACCTTCTGAATGTACTTGCTTGTATGACGTGGCTTGACATCGTATGCTCCCTGTGCGACTGGAGCAGTTCTCATGCAGCAGTAGAACAGCAACGCACTTCATGTTCTTCGCACTAACTGTCTTCCCCCGAATAGAACACCTAGCTGTTTTTAGACTGAAAGATGCCCCAAATATGGCTATAATGACCGGGCGTTCTATTTTTGGTGAAGGCTGTAGTTTTACATCTCGAGAACTCACAAATTGTGTGACATTGCAATCAGGATTTTCCAAGCCGTAGTCTACGAGCTCCCTATCTGATCTATTCTGGGTCTGTGCTTAACCTGTATGTTTTTGTTTTTTTTTGTTTCTTTTTTGTGTTTTAAAAAAGGAAGCTATATTCTTTACACAATATACCTCCGACTACCTACCTATCTACGCCAGGAACAAACAACACCAATGCCGGGAACAACCTGCTAGGTGGCACCATCCACTCCCCTCTGTGCAGGGAGTACTACCCACCTTCTTCCCCCGAATACAACGTAAGGGCATTATAGCTGTATCTGGACTGAAAGATGCCTCAAATACAGCTATAATGACCGTACGTTGTATTCGGGGGAAGAAGGTAGTTTCCTAACCCCCACCGAGGGACAGCAGGAGCACGGATCGGTGACACCCCGGCTCCTACCGAACCGGCCAGAGGAGGGCCTAGCCAACTATCTCAGCTCCTTGACACCAAGCCTGCCGCAGGCGGCCGTAGGGGTTTGAATCCACAACCTCCTGGAAACCACTTGCATTCTCAACCAACTGAGCTAGGCTGCTGGCCATCTCCAGCCTGGATGTTGTTTGCTTCGCTACACCACGTACATGTCTATACAGTTTGTAACTCTGTGTTGTGCGGTACTTTCCTGACATAGCACACTCTCCTGACATAGTGTATCTTTCAGCAGGATCCGGAGGACGGTCCGTGCTGCCCAAGGATTACTGTGTGTTCCTTGAGTCCCTGTGTTGAAGGCCTCTGGCCACAACGATAGCTCTGTGGTCTTCCTGTTCCACGAGAAGTACCTGCAAGGATTATCTGGTGCCACATATCAAGCTACTATGGACTGAGTGGAGAAGAGCACATTTCTAACCCTCTTCCGCAGGCCTCGAGATCGAACTTATACTTCCTCCTGTCTGATTATTTCCTTGTGTTAGATCGTGAACGTGGTACTGTTTTCCTGGAAACCATTAGCTCTGTGTCTTTCTCGGTACGTCCTCATCTTAGACGGAAGGCTCCCATGGGCCTCGTTAATGATCGCAACGAGGTATCTTAAAACCAGATAAGCATTCGTAGCCTGTGGTCTGTGATTTTGGTTTTCAAACCAGGTTTGAGTTGCTAGAGGGGGTGCTAGGAGCATCCTACCCTAGCAAGCAGGGAGCCGGTTGCTCCGTCCCAACATAATGTTTATTATCGGGGCCATTACCCAGCTTCGGCTTTTTACAGTGTCTGTCATGTATGCTCTTCTCTTCTCTATCCTCTTCCGCTCTATTGGCGGGGAGCTGCACCTGCTTGAAACCAGGTCCGGTGTCCCAGCATAATGTTCATTGCCAGGGCCATTACCCGGCTTCGGTTTTATATCTCCCTTGTCATGTGTCCTCTTCTGTCCTGTATCCTCTTCCACCATTCCCTCCGCCACCAGGAAATAGCCCTCCCAGTGAGCTCGGGCGGGTTTTGAGCAAGGATCGGACATTTTCGGGGAAGGAGAAGGAAGGCAGGAGCGCAACTGGGTGGGGTAAAGCCTTCCATAGATAGAAGGAACTCATTTCTGGCGTGGGTTATTGCAGGTTTTACTGTTTTGTATTTTGTGGGCTCAGAAGGGTGTTACTAGTTTTTAACTTTTTAAGTTCAAACTTTTTAAGTTTTAAGTTTTAACTTTTTAAGTTTTAAGTTTGTACTTTGTACTGCTTGTCCTGTGGGTGTTTTTTTAGCATTTTTTTTCCAGAGAATCTTACAGCGGGCAGCGTAAGGGTTCTTTCCTTAAGGGCGCAGGCCTGGTAGAGGCTTGGTGGGAAGAGGCAACCGCAGCAAAGGACGACACTGTTTTTTTTTTTTTTTTTTTTTTTTTKTGTGTGTGTGKGGGGGGGGGGGGGGRGGGGGGGGCATGCTAATCTTCTCTGTATCGTTCCAATTTTAACGGATGTCCCGAAGGACCGACACTGTTAAATTCTAACCTTGGGAAAATGAAACTTTTGGTCCGTCAGTTTTACTTCGGACACGCTGGTGTGGGATCACAGTATGGGCTTAACTGACAGTCGATCCTTCTCTAAATGAAGCAATCAATGCTGCCAGGGATCCCTGGGCCATAACATGGGGGTGCGTTAACGGTATATATTATATAATATATATTATATAATTGGAACTGAACTGCTGCTCAGCATTAGCCGGGCCCAGAAGGACCTGTTTTGGGAGGGGGAAAAAACATAAACACAAAAAAGAAAGGTTTTGTTGAATCTGTTTCTTCGCGTGTTGGTCTGGTCAGATGAGAAGCTGAACATGATGGATGGAGTTGGAAATTAGATGAGCCACAGCTTGTTGTGTCACGCTAGTGACTAAGCGTGGATACTCAGTCGTATGCATGGCTTTGGTTGAGAGCGCCTATGGATTGCTCAATGCTTCTGGACCCGGGTTGGCTGTACTTGGCTCTGACAGAGTGAAATTGGTTATTGGATGCCTTGCAGGAGAGCGCTCTGGTCTGGTCATGACAAACATGATCTTTGGGACGATCTGGCTCACGGTGATGTTCCTGATCATCGGAGGAAAAGTGATTTACTGGATAATTGCCTGTCTTCTCCTCTGCTTGCTGAACTACACGGCAGCATCTGTTCTCTACTTGAGTCAGCAGAGGATGAACAATGCTGGACTTCCCGGACAAGGGTACGGGAGTCGTCCGGTGTCACAGTTGATGGTGGCATCGGACACAGGAATGTGGGGTTTGCAGCCACTGCCTTACGCTTGCCCATCGTGCGGTACAATCTTCCATGTGCCTCCGGGGTGTCCGCAGTTTGAGTGCCCAGGGTGTAATCGCCTCCATGGGATGCCTGCAACGATCGGCATTCCTGTGCCAATAGGTCCCGGCGGAAGCGGTTTCATGATGGGGCCCAGTCTGGAGAGCATACGGTTACGTGACCCTAGGGCTGCAGGTGGTGAAGGCGTGCAGGGCAGTGCGATTGGCCATCCAGGGGCAGCGGCAAGTGTCTCCGGTGGACCTGCGGGTGTCTCTCTTCCGGTCATGGCATCGCCTGCTGCTGGGCCCAGGTTATCTCCAAGCATGGGCATGACGATGACCCTGCCGGGCGTCGGTGTCGGAGCGGTTGCAGGGTTTGCGAATGCACATATCCGAGGCCCTCCTTTAGCGATCCCCCAGTCTGTTCGTCCTCCGTTGCAGACCACCTCTATGCCGTCAACATCATCGTCTAACTTACCAGTGTTGCGGAGCAACCCTGGAATGACAAGTGCGGGGATAGACAATGCACTTGTCCCTGTGCGGATCCAAGCTGAGGATGAGTCGGCTTCTGGTCTTACAGCTGATGAGTCATCCTCCTACCCTTCGGAGCTTGCGGTACTTCACCGTTCCTCTTCGGTGGAGGCGCTTGACTCAGTCACAGCACCATTGCCAGCATCGTCCACCTCCGATATCACTGACACAGTAGATCCTGTGGTGCCGGTGTCTACATCGCTTACTCTGATGCCGCCCTCTGTTCCGTCATCACCGTCTATAAATCCAATCCCACCACCGCCAGGCACTCCATCAAGGACTGCCTCTCCTGGCCAATTTCCTTCGCCGTCTGCCCAACCTCAGTCTTTGCAGAGCAAGAGCCACATGCGCTCACGATCGCTGTCACAGTTCTCTAATCCTCGCGCGCGTCTGCGTTACTCATCTGCTTCCGCCCCTTCATCACCCCCACATGTGATGCATGGCTCACAACCAATCCCTCCTCCCCCTCCGCAGTTCCCGCCACCTCCATCGTTTAATCAGAAAGCGAATCCGCGGACTACGTCCAACACACGTCAGTCGTCCCTCTCGGCTTCCCATCCTTTATGCGCTGGCAATGAATCTGGTCGGCCATTGTCTCCCCCCCGATCCGTGCCAAACCGTGTGGTTTTGGATGCTGCACGAGCCGGAATGTCCAGGTCTGAAGCTACTTCTTCCTCGTCAAGGGATGTGCCTGCCTCGGGCATCCCTCCTGCGCCTCCTCTTCCCACTCGACCACTCAGAAACCAGTTACACCACTCTAAATCAACAGCTCACAACTCTGAGGCTGTGTTGGCGGGCCCCCCGTTCATGGCAAGATCGTCATCACCGTCAGCGCGTCCTACATCGCCGTCAGGGCGCCCTCCGTCGCCATCGGGCCGACCTCCATTAGTCCCAGGACATCAACCTGCGACATCAGGACGTCCACAATCGCCATCAGGATGTCCACCATCTCCTTCAGCAAAGGTTTTGAGTTATTGCCCATCGCCACCCTCACGGTTGTCCTCCTCCCGACCCTCAGCGCATTTGTCCATGCAGTCCCAATTGCCCCTGCAAACTCACTTGCTTAGTCAGCTTCGTGATCAGATGGCTATCCGCCGCCATACTCGGGGGTTGGGCATGTCTGCAATGGGGTCTTCGTCACCATCTCCTTCACAATCACCGAGATACTTCTCACCTCATTCCCACCCCCATGGACCAAAGTCGTCTGGGCTCTCGGTGCCTCCATTTTGTTTGACGCACGGTGATGAGGCTTCAGAAGATGCATCACTGAGCATTGGCTCATCGTTGCTCGATTCAACCTCGTCTAGAATAAGCTCAACAATGGCAAGGGATACCTCTGGGGAGGAGTCAAGTCAACAGTCCGACGCCTTGATGGCCGACAGGACAGAGGAGGACCGGCTACTGAGGTGAGTTCTGACTGTGTGGAGGGAGTTTGTGTGAATGATCAACGCAGTAAGTTAATTTACACGGATGCAAAACGAGTAGTTGGGTCTGAACGCGGCCAAAAAAAGTAGCCTGGCCAGAGCGCACGCGGACGACCCTAAATCTAGAATGGTCAGATGCCCCTGGATGAGTTGACATGGTCCCAAAATCAGACGGGTCAGAATGCACGTCGGTGACTGAACACTACTGCCCCCCCCAAAAGAAAAAAGAAAAAAAATTGATCCGGCTATTGTGGAGCAAACAAGTTCAAAGGTTGGGGAGAGTTTTGTGAAAATTCTTAGTGAAACTCAGTGAAGTATTGATGTTAACTCAAATTTGAGGATGAAGGAAATTATGTGATGATTGACGATGCAGGTGTTTGTGTTATTGTGTGTGTTATTTTTTTTTTTTTTTTTTTTGTGTGTGTGTGTGTGTGTGCTGTCTCTTATACACATCTAGATGTGTATAAGAGACAGGGGTGACATTTGGTTTCTTCTATTATGGATAACAGGATTTCAGGGATAGCTGAATCCTGGCTGGTGTTTGCTAGAGTAGTAGTGTTCTGAGCTCTTGGTTTGCTGATCCCAGAACGACACTGGCCGGTGCTGGGGCGTTTGCCCTGTGTGACCTGTTTTGTAGCAGGAGCTTGAGGNGAGAGAGAGAGAGAGAGAGAGAGAGAGAGAGAGAGAGAGAGAGAGAGAGAGAGAGAGAGAGAGAGAGAGAGAGAGAGATATGTCATGCTGTAGCAATTGCTGATATTGCAGATGCTCCATCTGTGTGTGAGCTGGCCTTGCAGTGAAGGTGGTGATCTGGTCACAATCCCCGAGAGGGTCCCTTCTAGGGACTTGTGTTTTGCCCCTTTGATTTTTTTTTCTGTTTTGTTTTTCCTTTGTGTTGCAAGTCTTGTGACTTACCAAAGGAATCCCCTGCTTACAGGGTCATGGTTTCTAACTTTCTAGTATCTACTAGCTTTCTAGTATCTACTAATTTCCTACATGTCGGGGGCTCAGTGCAGAACTGCAGGTTCTCACAAGCAGTAATCGGGGGTTCAGGGGTTTATGACATGGACGGCTGGGGGGGAGGGGGAGAGGGAGGGGGCCTGGAGAAGGAGAGTGGACATTCTATCTGATGCACACGGTGGTATCGAAAGTTCCGCTGCTCACGAAATGTTATGGGGGTTGGGAACTTGTAGGGTAGTTATTATTATAGATTGTCACAGGGAAGGTCTAATTGAGGGAAGGTGGTGGCTGTTGCAGCTGATTACGAAGCGTTGTATTGCTGTATTTGTTTTTAGTATTTACCCCCTCAAGGCAGGTGCTCGTCAATTTATATGGCTGTGGTTGGAAGGGAGGACCCTCAGGGAGGTGGGAGGAAATGGGGTTGTTATCGATTTTTAGTTGTGGCTGAAAGGAAGGGGTGGTCTTGCCCCCCGGGGGGGCGGGAGGGAACGACGAGGGAGGTTATCGACCCACACGACAGAGTGAGTGAGGTGTGTCCTGTATGGAGACGAAGTTGAAGTAGAAGTTTGACGGCATTTGTCGGACTTGATTAGGACCCTTTGGGATTTTAACGGATAACGGGACATCCGTTAAAATAAACTAGAGGCAACGGTGCGGAGAAGATTATTAGCATGATTTTTGATGCAATGGTGCAGAGGACGACAAACAAAAATCGAGAACTGCAACGTGGACTCTTTCTGAAATTTCGTATCGAGGCTTTCCGTCTTTCGTCTCTTTCTGAAATTTTGCCCTTGCAGATATGAAATGTCTGCCGTTCAATTGTTATGATCTGTGAGGTCACAGATGAAAGATAGCTTCACTGTTACGGAAACTCCTCAGGGCTGACGCGGTTAGGTGGGTGTAGCTGACAGCAGCAATAGCAGCATTGACTAGGTATATCGCTGCTAGCTTTGACAGTGTAGTGAGGATTCCGTCTCTCGGCGGAAGCCAGTATGCACAGGGATGTCCAGAATTACGTTCTCCGATCGCGGCAAAGGAAGTCTCGATCGTCAGAGACACCCATCTCACGTGGCGTTGTATACAGGAGGATTGATAAGTATGACGAGGGGCGAGCGCGCGTCTGTATTCGAAGACCGTGCTGTAGGGACTTCCCCCACAGCACGAGGGGCGAGCGCGCGTCTGTATTCGAAGACCGTGCTCTTTAGTGCGTTAGAGTCGTCGCTTCCCCCACGGTGGTGGGAGTGCATAGATAAAATGGGATTTGGAAGGCAGGTTAATAGATTCATTGTGCTGGAGGAAGGCATGCACACGCGAGGATGTATTTGTTCATAGTCAAAGGCCAGATTCAGCCTCCAAACGACGGTTGGAGTATGCCTGTAGTTGGTGTGAAGACACCTTGAGAGCACACATGGTCTTGTGCTCTGTAATCGTAACGAGCTTGCTCTTCTGGAGAGATCTGAGTTGAGTTGATTGAGTTGGTGTTAGAACGAAGAGTCGATACAAGCGGTGGAGGTACTTGCCACCCGGTAGTCTTAAGGATGGGAGGGATGTAGGGAGAGAGAGGGAGGGAGTGGATACTGCGTGTCTGGTACAGATCAGGCAGGATTCAATAAGCCTTTTGTTCTTTTTTCTTAAAACCTTCTGAGTTCTTCACAGTTTTCTTTGGTCAGAGAAAGCCAGGGTGTGCAGATTAGTAGAGCTGCAGCGGAAGATGTGCTAGAGGGGTCCCCAGTAGTAATTTTGGTTATGGGACAGATGTCCTGACGAGCAATTCGCTTCTGGGACCGATGTCCCAAGGCGAGCAATTTGGTTGTGGGAGTCGATGTCCCAAGGGGAGCCATTTTGCGTCTGGTATGCTGATGTCTTCTCCCTCTTCTTTTTGCTGCCTACTGCTAAATTTTATGTCGACCGCAGGCAGAACGCTTGTGGGTGGAAACAACCCATTTGGCCAGTCAGCTGTTGTGGAACACTTTGGTGGGACCACCACAACCCTTTGGAGAGCGGTTGTGCAATGGTTGGAAATGAGATGTGATTTTTTTAATTTTTTTTTTCCTTAAAGCTTCATTGGAGGCCTGTGAAATTCAAAGGTAATTCAACGAATGGCTCGCGGCAGGTTGTTTGTCAAGTGCCCCATGTTTCTGCCGAAGTCGGATTTGCTTTTGCTCTGCCTATTCGCTCCTCCAGAGAACAACATGTAAGGTTTTTTTTTTTTTTTTTCCCATTCTGGAGGAATTTGAAACATTTTTCATTTTAATGGATGTCAGGTTTTCTCTGAGATTTTTTTTTTTTTTTTTTTTTTTGGGGGGGGGGGGGGAGTTACACTACGGTGTCACTTCTTTTTTTATTTCCTGTTTTTCTTTTTTCTGAAGTTTGCTCTCAAGTTTTCTCCTAAGGATGTTTATTATTTTTTCTTTTTTTCTTCTTTTCTCGAAATTTCTTTCTGTTTTAGTCCGAGTTCTCGNTGGGTTCATACGAGGCAATCCGTGTCATATTACGGTGTATTTGTTTTTTTCTTTTTTTTTTCTTTTTTTGAAGTTTGGTCTTGTCTCTCCAAAAGTTTTTCCTTTCTTTTTTGTTTCCTTGGAATTTTTTTCCTGTTTTGTTCTGACTTCTTGGATGTGTTTATCTTTCATTGTGGCCCTTGAGTTGTCTTTTCTTTTTTCTTTTTTCTTATTCTTTTTCTTGAAATTTCTTCCTGTTCTAGTCCGAGTTCTCTGATGTGTTTATTTCATTGTGGCCAAACCTGTCTGGTTTTCCTTTTCTGCCCTGATTATGATTCAAATCACCCCCCCCCCCCCCCCCCCCCCCGAGCCTCTTGGTACCAACCCAGATGGATTTCACCCCAGAAAAAGAAAAAAGCGAAAACGGAGGGGCGCAAAATAATTTGTTTTTCCCTGGTGTCGCTGAACTTTACCTTCCGGTAGGCCAAGCCCCTGTTAACGTGCGGGTTCGCCACCATGTTGCAAAAAAATAGATGCTGGGAAAGGAACTTGTGGTGCTCTGAATGTACCGGCCCTCCTCCTCCTTCGTCTTCTTCTTCCTCTTCCTCTTCCTCTTCCTCTTCCTCTTCCTCTCCTTCCTCTCCTTCGTCCTCTCCTTCTTCCTCGGCTTCTTCCTCGTCTTCTCTTCCTCCTCCTCCTCCTCCTTCCTCGTCTTCTCCTCCTTCTCCTCCTCCTCCTACTACTACTACTACTAGTACAACTACTACTACTACTAGTACTACGTCCACATCCTCACTTCTTATAACAGATTTGTTCCATCATGAGACACACTGCCCCCACCTTCCCCTTGTATTATTTTATTTTCTGAATCATCGAAGAGCAGACGTGAAGCGTCTGCACTTCGTGTCCAGCACGTCTTGCTGCACTTCGTGCCTGGAGCTGTGATGCAAATGTAAATCAGGAGCAAATTTTCATATCAAGTCATGCATTTGGGACAACCGTCAGTCCAGGTTCGTGTCCAGCATGTCTTGCTGCACTTCGTGCCTGGAGCTGTGATGCAAACCCCCTGGCGCTTATACGAGATGAGGCGGCTCGAAGAGCGGTCGTTTTAGGGGAAAAGCATATACCCTACAGCCCTTCGGCCTTGTATCTCAACTGGATTCGAGCTTTGGTCTGTATTTCAACAGGTCATGGGCGTACCAACTGAGCTAGTCCAGTCACTCTTCTCGTTAAAATTATCTGTATCTTGTGTCCTCCTCTGCTTTCCTCGGCTCTTCGTAAAAGGGCAACGGCCTTGAGATAGTATCATGGACCTGACCGGCTGCAGGTAGTTCAGAATTATCTAGTTCTGCTAGCTCGTCTGATTCTATCTGGGTAGGGGTCCACCGGTGTCCCAACTGTTCAGTTACCCAGCGTGGGGACCACCTCGGATACTGACTGCGCTGTGTGTGCGACAGTTTGTGTGCGCTCCTCATGGTTGAGAACCAGATGGATGGGACTGCACTGTCCCCTGTCTACTCGTTGCCCTGGAGACTGTGTGGGGACCACCACCCCACCCGTCTATTCGTTAATTCGGAGACTCCGATCCTCTAGTGAACGCCATGCATGTTAAGTTTGAGCGAAGATGGCTGTACAAAATCATGTAAAAAATTCTCAAAATTGCGTTTTGGGTCCTACGCCGATAACATCCACCGGCATTGTAATCGGCGGCGGAGGTGGGAGGGATGGGGAGAGAAAATAGGCCAAGGGTTGAAGATTGGTTGTTCCCCCCTGCGGAAGGCAGCGTGGCGGAGGGCCAAACCAATTCACAGCGCCTGCTAGGGGAGGCTCCATTCAGCTGGTAAGGAGCATCGCCTGCTGGAAACCGGCTCCAGCGTCCGATGTCAAAACGTACATTGTAGGATTTTTTTATTTTTTTTTTCAATGAAAAAAAATT